TGGGCTTGGCATAATCGTGCACGATGCGTGCTGCGCGATGGCCTATCAAAGACCTGACGAATGTTAAGCCGCGTTGCCCCACCCCACTTGCCACTTTAGGGAGGAGGAGCTGGCAGGACATGGTGGATGTTGTACACATGCGACAGAGCCGCCCCCGCCCCAGTGCTGAAACAGGACTCCACCACAACAGCGGTGAGCTCCCTCGGTATTCGGTCACGGGGCATCCCACAAGCTCAGCACGTCGGACTGGCTGGGCTTGTGGGCCGTCGTCTTCGGCCCAAAAGAAAAACAAAAAAACAATTATCTACGGCTTGTTCGGGGTGGGACATCGGCCACAGCGCACCAGGCGGAACGCCGCTCCGCGTCCCTGCTGCAGGAGAGGACGTGGTTCGACGCGGACTTAAACTTGCATGAACAGAGGGGCAACAATATGTAGGAAGTTGTATTACATACCAAGTGGGAAGAGCGCCTGGTAGCGGCTTACTCCTTGCCGCCAGATGGTAGGGGAGGCAATTAGCTAAGCTTCGTCTCGCTAGATCAGGTCACACATATTGCTGGCTGAGACAAGCAAGGTTCGGGCAAATTCTTGACAGGAAGTGTAACTAAACGAGAGATACATTGACCAGCTTTATGTACCCATGCTGGATGCCAGTTTGAACGCCGTATATTGCGGCCATTGTTGATGGGCATGTTGTCTGACAACTTCGGACCGAGTTGGGAACAAGGGACGGCTACGGAAACCCGTGCTTGTACGTACAAGCCCATCGCAACACTCAGATCAAGTCGCATGACAATGCATCAAAGAATGGCAGACTTATAGCAGGAAATCTAGCGTACGTAGGGCCAATAAAAAGAGTCAAAGAGTCTAATGAAGGTGCTTGCGCACCATAGTTAGCGGCCAACCCTACACCGTGAGTAGTACCTTAGTGATTTAGATTGTGGCAACCTATTGGGACGCTATCGAGCGCCATCGAGCGCCATCGAGCGCCATCGAGCGCCGATCTTGCTTTTAGTACACCGTTCTCGGTGCCTTCTGCAGGGTCAATTGCTGAACTTTGAAGGTAAAATCGCCAGAGCAAGCACTCCCAATACCACTCCAAATATCTCCACCACCTCGTCAACCCTATGACTGCATCGTATACGAAGCTGAGAACTTCCTTGCGAGTTCTCCGCTGGGGAAATTCGCCTTTTGGAAAAGAGATTTCAGAGTGTCAATGATTTGGATATTCTCTGCTCCATGACAGGTCTTGGTCCGGATAATCACCTTGGAGAAGTCCGATAGATAGCACATAATAGCTTCGAAGTCTAAACTGTCGCCGAAAGCTTAAAGACGGCTTCGCCTCATTAACGGCTTAGTATAGATGTTTCCGCCAAGTATCAAAATCACGGACCCTACAAACTTACCTGAACCTCGCCTCTTCTCCACGTACCTGAATTTCACCTCGCAGGTAGCGCGTCGCAGGTCAGCACAGGGGGGCCCCGCGCACGGCCCTTGACTATAGCTCCGCCCCCGGTACTGGAGCGCACTACCGCCTGGAATGATGGGCAGGACGCCTCCGCGCACGGGGTGGGTAAATCCCTACTTCGAAGACCTGATTCACTAACCGCTCTTGCTAACGACAGCTCGCGTAGTCCTATATAATATTCTTAAGTGTGATAGACTGACGGATCTACTGCGGCCAGGACACCAGTAGGAAAGAAGGCTTCTCTAGGCGGCTTTATACTATATATCAAGGAGTGCTTGATGCCTCGCTGGAAGTATCTTCACCAAAACGTGACTTGAGTCCGAGCCTGTCCTACATGACAGGTTGGTTGTGCTATTCCAAGCTCATCGCGATCTCATGCTTGATAGCTTGCTTCCACTCTGGTGGGTGCTGCTTAGGCCCTAGCGTGTTACGACACCCTGGGCCCTGCCGTCGACGATATAGGTAGTGGAAGGGGCCCATCGTCTCCTCTGCCCAGTACTGATAAGTCCTGTAACCCTGGCGTAGCTGGTAGTTGGGGTACGGCGCGTGGACGAGCACCCACTCAAGTTGTGGCAGCTTAGCCTCGGCACTGGCGAGCAATGAACCTAGGTCGTGGCTCAGATCATGTTGAGGTACTGGGTTATAGAAGCGAGGGTTAGGGATACTCGTCCAAAAGTATCGCAGGCTGGGGGGTAGGTAGTCCCCTAGATCCGCGAAGTCTGGTGGGATGTATGCTTTGTCGTGATCTCCGGGGTAAGCCCCGACGCCGTCCTTAGGGCGCTCAAAGTATGTCAGCCTCGACATGGGTGCACTGAGCCACTCGAGTTTGATGTTTGCCGCCCGTAGGTTACCTAGCACCCCGCTGTCTCGTTCCTCAAACTGGCCGGCCGCTGTCTTGTATAGCTGGAGCTCGAAGCGGCGTAGTCCGGTCCCGTATGTCCTGATCGCCTCGCCGAGCGGACCGAAGTCGATCCTAGCGCGGGGATACTCGTCGTACGCATCCGCATCCCCAGGATCCACGTCTACGACAAGGCTCCTCAGGTCAGAGCCGAGTTCCCTCAGGACGAGATCGCGGATCACTAGACTACTGCTCTTAGAGTTTCGCGGCGTGCCCGGGAAAGCAGCCGATCTGAGCTCGAGGTGCTGGATATGAGGCGCAATCGGCCAGGGTCGGGATGGTGCCCCTGGGTTAGATGGTGCCGAGCTTCCTCTGCCCCAGCTGAGATACGACGTGTAGCAGCTCACGAGGCCTTGGAACGAAAGAAATGCCGAGACTGCAGCATTGCTCACGGTCCCAATATCGTTCTCCATAGGAGTAAGCTCAAGCGTATGGAGACGCGAGAGGGGAGAAGGTAGTCGTGCCTGCAGGCCTCGATCGGCCGTGCCGAGAGCACGTCCACAGAAGGAGAAGAATCGTGCAAGGAGTGAACCGTGGCTATCTGCAACGACGCGCAACGATGCAAACTCGACCTGGTCTGCTAGGGTGAGTGACCAGATGGCGAGGAGGTCATAGGAGAGTACATAGTGCCCTCGATATCTGGAAACATCGACACTATGGGGCCAGGTTGTTGTGACTTCTCTCGCTTCGACGATCAGGCTGTCGAGAAAGGTACAGAAGCTGGTCGAGTAGGTCTGCTGAATCTGTGACTGGATCGCCGGGTCCTCGAAGGCTTCGAGGAGGCGCGCTACAGGTAAGGGTGTTCCCTTCAGCACCAAGTGACGGACAATCTGGATTTCATCCGGGCGGCGGCGCAGGTAGGTAAATTCCTGGCTAGAGCTGAACTGGTATCCATCGCAGAGAGGATCAGTCTGCGTGAACTGGAGTGTTTGATAGATGAGTGGCTGAGCGACAGTTCGAAAATGAGACGAAACTAAGCAAAGCCAGCTTATCTGTCGCGAGTCCGCACCGCGATCAGCGTTGACCATGCACAGCTGCTCGATAGTGAGCAGAGTGTGAGCGAAGATCTGAAGTAAGAGTTCATCGGGTAATCGTTCGATATGTGCGGATGACTCCGTAGCCACTGAACCATCGGCCCCCATGACAAGAGTTGTTACTTGGGACGAGAGTAAGTAAGGTGGAGAAGCGGCGGCATGCTGGATTGCTCCTAGGTTGTGAGAGGGCTGAGATATAGCCGTTTGGACCAGGACCCCTCTCTCTGCAGCCAACGAAGCTTTACTGTATCCCCCTCCTTGCCCCCCTGTCCCACCCCGCAACCAAGCAATCTATAAGCAAGTAAGACATACAAGCAAGTAAGCCACACAAGCAGTTAAGCTACACAACCAAGTATTCTCCTGCTCTATAGTAGTGTTACAGGCGACCTCTTTCTACCGTTGCGCCTACTAGGCGAATATAAGCCTTCCCAAGCTATTTATGGCTTAGCCGCTGCTTGGCCAGCCCTGTCATCTGAGTACAGTTCTACTGCCTCTGCCGTCTCTGCTGTCTCTGCCGAACCCTACGAAGCGCTTGTTTTTAGGTTATAATTCTGCAACTGATTAAATTACTATTTAAATTCAGCTCGCTCATATTATCTCTCCTACCTCCGTACATACTGTAACCTCTGCCTCCTGTGTTAGCTACTCTGGACAGCTTATCTTAAGTAAGTATTACACGACTCGGGCAATTACCCCTCGTTTCCAGCCCGCCTCCGTGGCGTCGGGTCAAATCTGCTTTTCCTACTTCATATCCCTGCCCATGCCTGTCTCGGTTATCGTCTGCTAGTGCTCTCGGCCCCTCCTGTCTTCTGTAACTTACCCGGCCCGCTTACATTCTACTGGCTGACTGTAGGTATATAACCCTGCCTATGCACCTCGTACAGCTTATACCATGTCCGCTAAGTTGCAAGTGGCTTCGCCGCAGCCTTGATAGTCCTGTCTCGAAGCCTCTTGCTTCTTCCTATGTATTCCCTCAATTCTGGCATTAATTCCACGGCTGGTACAATCATCCTTCGATTTCTGCCCACTCCGCCAGTCGGCCACTCTGCTATACACGCACCCCAGAGCAGCAGTGAAGCGGGGCGCCAACCTTCGCCTGTGATTCTGGCATACACCTACCACTCTGCCGTATACCTGCCACTCTGCCAGTCTGCCATTTCTGCCATGTGCGTACCCCAGATCAGCAGTGAAGCGCCGTGGCAACCTTCACCTGTGATTTCACCGTACACCTGCCAACCTGCCCCTCTGCCACTCTGCTATTCCGCCACTTCCGCTAGCCTACCACCTCCGCCAGCCTGCCACTTCGTGACCCTATATGTCCAAATAAGCAGCCAGTCTCCCAGAACAAAAAGACCCGTGGTCAAGCGGTACGACGCTGCTGGCAATTGCCTGGCAGAATCCCCGGTTCAACTCCGGGCCGGGTCACTTGCATGCTTTCAGTTTCATTCTGCTGCCGCGGCGTGAAGCTCGGGGCTTGATCTCTCTCTTTTGCCTCCTTATACGCCGTCTCCTTATAAGCGGAGTCCTCGGTTCGACTCCGGGTTGTAGCGACGACCGTGCTTTACTCTCTGCTTTATATAACGTTAACTTAAGTTATACAAATAGCGTAATGAAACTTTGATTCTACTATCTCTACTATCCTTCTAAACTACTCTTACTCTAGAGTATCTTCTCCCTCAATATCGCTCTTAACTATCCAGTACTGAGCACGCGAGTGTACCCCGAAGCTCTGTAACTGTACAGTGCTATATATATCGTCGGGTACCACGTCAAACTGTATCCCCTTCCAATGCGTCGCTCTCCAGTGCTTACGTATGTTCTTATTGGAAATTGTTAGGAAGCGGCAACCTGTACAGTTAAACCCTCTCAAGATCGGTAAATAGCCCAATGGTGAAGTATTGTCGTCCGGGACCGGAATGCTAAACGGATCGACAAGCGTAGGTTGGAAACAAATTCTGCGAATGTCCTGTAGCTCATCTCCCTTCATACTGTGTCTGCCCCGGAAATGTACAACAGTACCGTTACCTGGTTTAATTCCCAGCCGGCAGAGGAGACAGATAGTAACGTTGCGGGTCGTGTCGATATAAACCAGTTTATCAACCGGTTGAATTGGTGGACGGGTTGGTGGACGGATCATCGCTCGTACTGTCGCTTCAGTCTCAATATTGTCTTCGTTTGTTCCTAGGTCTTGGTCTTGCAAACCCTCCAGCTGAGGGAAGTCCTGCTGCTTACTAACAAGCGGTCGTAGCTCGTCGTACGACGAGCGGGTGTTTGGGAGCATTCGTCGACTCGGTTGATGTAAGAACTCGTGCCAGCGAAAGGACGCCCACTCATAGATGCGGATAAGGGCTGGCTGAAGTTGCGAAGGGAAAGCTCCGTCGAGTCCGTATGTAGTTGCGCGCTGAATAGGGCGATGGCTGCTCTGCCCGGCAAAGACGGCATTGATGCTCGCATTCGGGCCAAGGTCGTCATACCGGTTGAATGGCATAGCAATCTCGATGACGTGCTTCTCGGTAATACCAATAGCGATTTGTCGGTATATCTGAGGATTAACACAGGTATCCCAGCAGACGGATGTCGCCTTCTTAAAGATAGCCGCGAGCTTTGACGCGTCCCAAGGTTTTGATCTGTCTACTCCCGAGCTGAAGAGTAGGGGCAGCGAGACAATATGCCCTGATAACGATCTCTGGCTGGAGACCGGCTCTTTACCAAGCGTTGTAAGGAAAGGACGGATGTAGACAAGGTATCGAAATATAACCCGGCCGACTCGGAGAGGAAGGAAGCGTACAACGTTGAATTCTCAATTGGTTGAACGCTTTGCTTTGTGATGCCGTGTGAGCGTCATGACTGAGCCATTGTGGATGTATAGTCCGCGTTCGCCGAAAGCGCTGTTCTGGTATGTAAGGCTGAAGAGCTCCGATGACCGACCAGTCTGGCCGCTTGTCGTATGGAAACAACCTGCAAGGAACTCGAGCAGCCTCTCTGCTGTCTTCTGGTAGCGGGCGACTGCGGTAGCTTTCCATGTCCCGTGGCTCTCGTCGAACAGTCCGGAATACGGAGTGCAGGCCTGTTTAAGTAGCTGGGCATAGGCGTGGGACAGTTTGTTATGCGGGTGGCTGATGAAACTGAACCCATCTTTCGCATTAACGAGGTCGTCTTTGACTCTCTCAAGATGAACGTTCACCTAGAGACCAAGCATGAGCTGCTCGCAGAGCTCCTCTGCGTGCCCGATGAAGTGCTCTGATAACTGTCGGAAGGTGTCTATAGTGATGGTAAATGAGTCCCCGTAATTATAATACCGTTTAGAGATCGTCGCTCCAGTGGAGAAAGAATAACGGGGTGTCTGTCCTAGCGATCACTCTTCCGTAGTCACGAAGGCTTAGCATCTCGGTCAGGGGCGTCATCGACTTAGTAAGCATATACCTATGCCGTACTGTATCGAGCCGCTCGAATTGCCGATGTTGCGGTTGCCGGGGAATCCCGATATGCTTATATGCTCGAAGAGGTAGGGTATATTCTAGGAAGAGAAGTCGCTGGTTGTAGATTAAGGCTGAAAGGAATAGTGGATAAAGCTTTACTGTGCGAAAGCCTCTACCGTCCGGGTTAATGCTAAGAATACCACTGAAGTACACGAGATGGGTTGAGCTGGGATAGCCGTCGGCGAAGTCTTCGGTACAGAATGTAATACACAGCTTGAATAGCAATTCGAGAAGCTGGCTCAGTGCTGGGCTGAGGACGATCACTTGATTCTGCAGTGTACTTGCGTCTTGGACCTTGTCTGTTGTCTCGCTTTGTCCGTCGCTGAGCTCCTCGTCGTCCTAGTAGTTCTCGTAGTCCTCGTCATCCTCGTCGTCCTCGTCGTTCTCGCCGTCTTCGTCGTTCTCGTCGTCTTCGTCGTCCCGACGTATCTTAGTGGTATCTCGTTGGGAGTCCGACTTAGTGTCTTGCCGATAGGAGTTAAACGAGCGTTTTCTCGACAGACGTTTGGCTAAGGGTTTTGAGACGGACTGTTTCTGTTCCCTATTACTGGGTGTTGGAGTAGGCCGTTCTTCCTTAGCTGTCGGCCGCAGCTGACGAGCGGGCTTTCCAGCTAGGATCCACCGAAGGAGCTGTTCCTCGTTCCAAGCTTCGTGGGACCAGATAGTACCAAGTAGCTGCTGCTGCTCCGAATTAAATCGGACGGGGAGAAGGTCTTGTCGTTGGAAGCTTGGTAGGCGGTAGGTACGGAAGATGAAGGCGATGAAACGCTGGAAGGTCTTGAGATACTTCTGTCGGCTCGATCTTGCCGATACTAGCGTAAATGGCTTGGGATAGATCTTGTCTGGGTGGAGGCTTCGGAACCAGCAGAGGACTGCACGAGAAGTTTCGCGGGCTGTCTGCTCACAGCGAAAAAGTACCCAGTCGACCATAGTAACGAGCCCGGATATCTTTATCTCGTCTGCTCGAATACTAATGTAGGGAGTGGTTGTAGGATATAGTCCTCTTCCAAGGTGAAGGAGTCTTATGGGTGGATTGCAGGGTATAGCTGTGAGGGCCTTCAGCACTGCACAGTTGGCGCCCTCGAAGATCTGCTGCCATCCCGTCCGGTCTAGCCATGGCTTGCTCTGAGAGATAGCAGTCAGTCTACCGTTTGGGTCTTTCCTTGTCGAATCGTACCCCGAGAAAACAGGTCGTTCGGGCGTCTCGGGGGGGGTTTGTTTTGCTACGCAAGCCGTACTTTCTGAAATCGCTGACCCGGCCCTCGTCCAGCGCGCGGCTGCTGCTGTCAAACGTCCCGCCGCCCGACACGGACGACGACTTTGTAAACGGGTTCCGGCTGCTGCTCCCGCCGTTCCTGTGCCGGTGGTGGTGGTGGTGGTGGTAGTGGTACATGGCGACGGCCTGCTGGGCCAGCGACATGGTGGGCCTCGCGGCTTGATGATGATGCTGCGTGCTGCTGCTGCCGCCGACGTCGGCGGAGGAGGAGCTCGAGTAGTAGCACCCCGTACCGGGCAGGCACTCGTGCAGGCACTGCGGCATCCGGCGCGCGAGGACCGCGTGGCTGGGGTGCTGCTGCTTGTTGTTGTTGTTGCCGCTGCTGTTGCCGCCGTTCGAGGACTGGCCTCCGGGGCCGACGAGCTCCGAGTCGGGCGAGATCGGAATGCAGCCTTTGGCGTACGCGCTGGTCGCGGACGGCGTGAGGATGGGCGTCCTGTCCTTGTGTGTGACCCAGAAGACCACGATGGCGGAGAAGGCGACTGTTTTTTTTGATCGGGTTAGACGCATTGAAAGAAGGGAGCATTGCTTTATGCTGCATCAGAGCATCGAGGGGAATTGTACTTTTGCCCACCACAACGGCCGAGAGGAAAACATAACTTACTGTCCACGTTGCAGCACATCAGGCACACCCACCCGGGCTCGCCGTCGAGTGCCATTAAAACGGACAGATTTCTGCAAGGGGAAGAAGGAAAAAAACGTTAACGGTCTTTGCCCAATATTATCATGACTTGCTCGTCTGTCAAGAAACACCTTGTGCGCGCGCGGCGCATCGTTTGTTTTCTCGGTTTCCGCAAGGAACCGTCGAGCTCGATCGCGTAGGACTCTGGTGGCGAATAAGGGGGGCTGGTGTGGATGAAGAGACTCACACGATGCTAGATATGGTCGTCGCCACCGCGCCGATGAATGTCCGGGACGCAACTGTGCGAAGGCGCTCGTTGGCGGCGTTGCGCTGAATGTGTCGAACTTTGCGCAAGTCTGTTTTTTTCCCCCAGAGCGCGTCATGGAGGGGTTTGTTAGTCCTTTGCTAGATTCGTGCAATAGTACCGTGCTCTTTCCATACGGATGATCAGCTACTAGGTTGGGAGCGGATCGTTGTGACACGTACTTTTAAGTGGCATGAGGAACAAAATGGTGAGGTAGACCTATGAAGAGTAGATTCCAATATTAGTATCACATCGTGATCGTGGCAGCCTGGCCGCCTGCAGCTAAAGGTGGCGTCTGACTAAAGCAAGGCCACACGTACGTTGACGAGCAGGTCAAAGCTGATGAGCGGAATCATGGCGACGCGCTGCATGCCAATGACGCATTCGCCGTTATGCTGGCGGGTGATGCGGCTGTGAACGGAGAGACGAAGACAACAAAGTCAGTTGATTGCCTCTTAGGTACGTTTCTAGAAAACAAGGAGGTGCACCAGTGGACTCACAATATGAAGTTGAGAATCGAGACGACAACGTAGATGCCTGTTCAAATCTACACGTCAGCACTTGACGCAAGCAAGCATTCGAGCGTACGTGCTAGCCCAGTCAGCTAGTCGAGGTACACGGGACGCGTACCGAGCATGCCGAACAGGTTGAATATGTACAGCTTGGACTTGAGACGCCCAGTTGGCACTGAGCTTTGACGGATAATGTACTGCGAGTAACCCGTCAGTGTCAGGAGGATTGTATCTCGAGAGCCGTAGCGGACTGCGAAAGTTTCAAGGCGCGTGGAGAAGGAGTCGGGCAGTGGTTCGATGGTACTTACTGCTTTTTCAACCAGGAAAATGTATATCAACTGCCGTGGCGCAAGTTGTCAGCAAAGCGACCGGGCCACTCTTCTCGGTTGATTCTCGTTACTCACGATCTATTCGAAGACTCTGTCAGTTCTGCTGTTCCCAGCCTTGTCTCGATGCTAACAAGAGAAACTTACCTTGGTTGTAACATAGCCTGTGGAGCATTGCAAGATCTCACAGTCAGCTGATATGATCAAGGGCCGCGATATGTAATGCGGGTAAAGTAGAGCAGGAAGCGCTGGGACTAGACTCACAGACGAGGCAGAGCAGGATCCCGCCCTGGCATATCCCGAAGCTCGCGCCAAGGCCCACGCCAAACTTGAGTATCGCCGTTACGAAGACAAACAGCCACGAATCAAGAAAGATCGCGAACACGACTGTGATCGGAGATGAGCTCAGTCAGTCTTTTTTTCCCTCGAGTTCACGGACCGATTCTTTCAGCCCAACTTGAGACCGGGAAGGGGGGGTATGTCGGGAAATGTACTCCATGCGACAGGCGGCAGCGTGCGCCAATCTGTGACTCGCAGGACTCTTTGCGCTGTGTTGGTGGAACAAACAGTTCTAACGTCAGCACTTCTGGGGTTGTCTCGCACAGACCATTCATTGCCCATGCTTCGAGGGGGGGCGAGAACAAGAAAACGCACTGGTCAAGGTCGATAATATTGTTGCGGTGAGGACCGTGACGATGACGCTCGAGATGCTGCCAGCCAGTGGCTCTGTGGCGTCCTGAACCACTCGACTGAGCAGGACGTCGGCGGTGGCGGGCGTGCTGAGAGCCATCGCGGCGGCCCAGTGAAGCCTGGAGCAGAAGTGATGCCCTCCTCTTTCTTGATCGTCAGTCCCGCTTTTTGCCCTGTGCGGCTAAGCAAGCGGCCGTGGTCTTGGTCAACAACTGCGAGGCGTTGTCGTGGTGATGCATGCGTTGCGGCTCGATGGGCGTGCTATGTAGTCGCGTCAGAGTCCCTGCCGTTGTCGTCTTCGTCGTCGTGGTCGGCGTGGTCGTAGCAGCCCAAGTCCTCGTTGCTGCAACATGAGGAAAGCCATGGGAAGAAGAAGGTCTCGGTGCCGCGACATGCCGTTGCAGCGAAGGATCCGGTCTGGCCGATTAGAGTTCGATCAGTTTGGAGCTAAAGAGGTCTCGAGCGCCTAGGGTGCTTTGGGATGACTGCCAGCAGCACTGCTCGCCCGTTGTGGGTAAGGCGCATGCCCTGCAGACGGCACGCCGGTAGGGATGGCAAGGCTGGAGAAACGGCCCCTGGCCATCACCCGACGGGCGAATACAGCCCTCGGGGATCGCCGCCCGAGTGTGATTAGGACCTTGCAGTAGTGTTGGAAGTGGTGCTCTTGCAAGTGAAGGGCTAGGAAGCGGGCAGACAGATGATGGTCAGCGGTTGCGTACTTGAACCTTGGTAATTCACAGCGCATAGACTGCTTCCTTGGACAGAAATAAGAAAATGGTCAACAGTGACATTCTAAACAAGTCGCCGCCCAGGCCCGACGCGGCAGACGCAAATGCTGGGAGACGCTCCGAGGAAGAGGGACCACGGACCCACTGACCCGTGCCTCCATGCATGGTGCGGGCGTTTTTTGCATAATCGCAGGCCCAGTGCGCTGGCACATCATCTTCACGCCAGATGCAGTTTCTCTTCAAGGTTTCTTGCATTCTGCTTGGCCAGTGTGCCCTGGCTTCGGACGAGTGGCCATCCAGCTCTAGACGGGGATCTGCCACCACCTACAAGATTAACCAAGGCGATGCAGGGGCCTGCATTACACCGCTTGGAAGCTGTGGCGGCCGCTACACCCCTTGGGCGTAAACTCTCTTACTGTGGTCACTGGTTCGCGATGGACCCACGCGCAACGACGAGGCGTTGGAAGATGTCACAGTGAATTACATACAAGAGAAAGCTACTAACCTGCATCGGGTAAATAAGCAAGATACCCGCTGCACGCCCCAATCAGACTCCGGATCGTCTGCGGAGACAACACCGACTCGCACGTCAAAAGGCGGAAAACTCTTCCGCGGGGAAGAGAAAGAAGCTGGTGAGCGATGCTGATGTCCCATCATAGATTTCCACTAGTAGCATTAGTGTGCCGTTGTAGGCACATGCGTGAATAAAAATTGCCATGTTGATTCCTCAGCCTTGTCTGTCCCCCCTAATCGCCACGCCGAGGAAGGGTATAAGATCGGAGCCCCGGATCTCGTCAATAGTGACGAGCGGCGCCTTGCATCGCCTCTGCCCGCTTCGGAGGTCAGATCGTCTTCCGTGCCGCGCATGACCGCTCCCGGACGCCGCGGGACGTTGTGAGATCATCTACAAAGAATCCACGCCCGGTAGACTAGACGAGGAAGAAAGAAAAAAAGGTACCACTTCATCGAGGCAAAGATAGGCTCTGGTGGCGCCCGATCTCTAGACGCCACGCCCACTCGTTTCCCCGTCGGGGCATCATCCATCGCATCGAATCCGCGGCCGCTTCCTGGTCCTTATGCTTCTTCGCCATCGTGACTACAGGTTGGATCTTCCCGTCCTTGGCACCGCCGGGATCTAAGCGACGTGCTCTCGAGGTAACAGCGGCCCGCTTGTCGACGCCAGGAGGCCACTGGGACGGCCGTCCAGGGCTGCTGTTTCATCGTCAATGCGCACGGCAGTGGGACTCGGTTTAACTAGCGGTAGATCCTACTCCGCACCATCCTTGCCAGTGGACGACTTGCAGGATGCCCGAGTTTGAGATGGGCACGATCGGATGGCGCGGAATGCCTTTTTGACACTCGCCCATCCTCATGTCGCGAACAGCATGCAACGCCATGTACTACCGGGCTTAAGACTGCCGCGAGGAGCAGCTGGATTTGGATTATGCTGCTACTTGAACTGTTCATCAATGCGTCAAGAAAAACCCCGACTCCAAGGCTGATCAAGCCGCAATGGCGATAGCTCCAATACTTGATGCACGTTGCTTGCAAATTTGGGCCATGCTGATCGCCCCCATCATGATTAGTATAGGCAGGTAATACCAAACAATAGAGAATGGAAGCCTGCCGGATAATCCAACCCGAGCTATTTACCGCTCGTGAGTGTTCGAGACTCTGCCGCAACGCCACCAGGCAGGTCCTGACTGGTGTGCGCTCATGACCAAAGCCCAAGCGAGTCCCGTCAATCACCACCAGCCCGCACCTGGCCCAAAGAGGAACAAGGGCGCACCGCTTCGGCGCGCCCGAAGGGTCAGGGGTACTTTGCGGCTGCGGGTGGCGTCTCCGCGACTGAAGAACTGGCATCTCCCAACCCACCGTCCTGGTTTCTCTAGTGCTAGTCAGAACCTTGCCGGGCCAGGCACCACCGGCTCCGAGCAGAAGCACCACCGGTGCCTGATCCGTGGTGGTGGTGGTGGTGGTGGTCGCCGTCTCACGGGTCTTCTCCCCTTGAGGCTCTCCGCATCGCGGCCCGTGCGAGGCGGCACGATTGTTCAGGCCGCGCAATTTACACCCGGGCGCTTTGGCTGGACACGCGAATCAGATTTCAGGCCGCGTCGCCAGGGGGGCATGCTGGGACAGATGCTTGGCGGGCTTCGTGGTGGCTCGTTTGGATCCCCGCAACCAGGGTCCGAATTAGGATAATGCATCCAGGGTTTTGTCATGTCACAGTTCTTAAACCGTGATGCGACGGGCCAGGGACCCCTGAGCACTGGTGGACTTGATGCCGGACGGTAGGGACCAGGGTGAGTTATACCCGCGCTGATGGTGTGTCAATCATCGTGACCCAGTCAGGGGTCAGGTAGGAGCCGGCCGGAAATGGACCTTCTAGATGACAGAGAGTCTCTCTTTCGCCGCGAGAGGGAATAATTTGCCGGTTGAATGAAGCGCAGCGCAGGTCCCCGTGTAATATCCATTTCCAGCCTGCGCGTTCGTGATGGATGTCGCCTAGATGAGCTATTTCATAGTCACCGCCTTGACAGAAACGTTTGCCACGTGCTGAAGCTTTTCGACCTGCCAGACTTAGCACCGCCTCGGGGTGACTATCTTCCAGTCCAAGTCTGAGGGAATAGCAGAGCAGATTACACTGGTATTGGGCAACGCTTGGCTACTTCGTGATGGCCATACCGTCCTTGGGTACCGAATCGAGCAGCGACTCCTGCGACAGTGAGAGCCGACAGATCTTGTACGTCCCGCCCGGCCGGGCAGAGCTGAAGTAGACTCCTCCTGGCTTGTCGTCTTGATGACCATTGTCGTCGCGCATCTCAGCCGGGCGGTGTCGGCGATCAAAGAGGACGACGCCCCCCCAAAGATCCTGTCCTCGGCCCAGTATCCCACCATATCGGCGACGCCAGCCGGGTACTGCTCATGCGCGAACAACGTCGGCCACAGTTCCTGCGGTGGGTAACCTCGGGTTCCTGATAGGCCGCCTCCAGGTCGTGATCTGCTCGACGGCGAGGATCTCTCCGTCACCGGCTTCTTTGACAAGACTGTCATCATGCTGCCGCAGGTCCTTCTGGACGAGACGCACCGCCGTCTGATGCACCGCCTCGACAACCAGCTCGAGCACCGCTAGGTCGCAGCCCTTCTCCCTCGGGCTGCAAGCCCTTCAGAAACTACAAAGTATAACATCCCCATTCCGGCATCAGCAGACTGCGACGCCGCGGTGAAGGGCCATTTTTTTTTTTCGCCATGCGCGGGCTGTGTCGAGAGAGTGATGAATTCGATTTCGACGAGATTTCGTATCTCTGGCATATCTGTACACGGTCGGTGGCGTCGACCCAATACACACAATAGGAAACTCGCTTCATTGCTTGACATCAGGACGTAGGTGTCATTTATATTATGTTTCCGTGTATTCCCACAAGAACTCATCAAGCACGCTTCTGATGATGACACTCCGTGACCCAGTGACGGGCGTTCGCTCCATGGTCTATATTGTTTCTGGCTTACACATCTACTTGGCCCTCAACCCGCCTGACGACAATATTGTCGCCCCTCCCGCTCCCACCCAACACCATTCGTTTGCCTGCAAACCCGCGCGCACTTCTCTAGATACAATACCCCCCAGCTCGACGCTCAGGTACGTCTTGCCAAAGCACTTGAGCGCGTGGCCGCCGCAGCCGCGCGCGCGCGCGCGCACGCGGTGCCCATCGACGTGGCCCCCTTCAGCCTCATGAACTCGACATGGGGTGTATCGTGCGCGAGCGCGTCGAGCACGGGCGTCGACTTTGCTGTCCTTTCCCCTTCCTCCCCTTGAACGCGTACCCCTGCTCCGGACGGCGTACGCCTCCGCCAGGTTGCCCACCCCCCTGCGGCACGCCCGTGTCGAGAATCAGATTACAACCTCGTGCGTCTCGACGGAGGTCATGTTGTGCCCGCGCGGGTGGGATCCGGTTTTCAGGAGGTGCAGCATCGCAGCGTGGTAGGATTCCGGGTGCTTGGTGAGAGAGAACGGCGAGTCGGAATGTAGAAAAGGTAAGCCCGGATGGGCGAAGTTTGTCGACGCGCTTTCTGAGGCGACGATGCCGCGGTCGCGTAGCTTGTGAAGGGCTGCGAGGACGTTCGGAGAGGGAGCCGGTGTTGGCTGCCGTGATGTTTGCTGTTTGTGGAGAGGCAGAGAGGCTGATGATGATGCTGGTTTTGTGGCGTTGGTGGCGGGTTTTCTCCTTGTCTGTCTGTGCTCGAAGCATGCCGCCGGCTTGCTGCCATGCTACTGGCCTTGCTCTGGCGCTCGGTGGGTGTTTTTTTTTTGTGACCGCTAGCGAAGACGATGGTGGTGATGGCGAACCTGATGCCGGACCCCTGGCGAGACTAAATTGGGACGATGCCAAGGAGGATGAGCAGCTCGATGGTGCTCTTTTTCCTTTGACGGGGTGCTAAAGGAAAACATCTCCAGCAGACTTACAGATCTTAAAGATCCATTGAACTTTGGGTTTCCACTGAGCAATGCTCAGTGTCTGCTCTTGTCAAATTCATCATCTTATTGCGCCGGTGAGAATCCAAAGTACGTCCTTGTTTGTTACCAAGCTAGCTACTTGGGCTCGTTCCTCATCTCTATATTCGTCTGGATCGCGATCTTGTAGAATCGCCCGTCATCGTGGTGGCTGCCATGTTCTGACGGAGCCGACTCTGTCCTGTAAGCCGGCTGTGGTTTCGACGGCTGCAGCTCAGTCGCGTCATCGTTTGAGTTGATGCGCTTGTGCCGGCCGCCGCCGCCGCCGCCGCCAAACGCGCCCTCGCTGGGCCCGCTGCCTTTGGCGAACTTTGGTTTCCATATGTTGTGGCGCCCAGATCGATTGGCAGACCGGTTGCGAGATGGATTGGCTTGGGACCCTGTGTTGCCAGTGTGTCCCCAGCTCTTTCCTGACGCGTTGTAATGAGTCGTCGTGCTTGTTGTGCCAAAGATCTTGGGCCAGGCTCGGACGAGAATCAGGCGCACTGCAAGGACAACCGTCATGTTAGATGTGTCGAGAGCTAGTCACTGACAGTTCCACACCAGGGGTTTGCACGTACTTGTGGGCATGCAGGCACACATGACCCCTGTGGCTACCTCGACGGTGGACCAGAGAGTAATTTGGGTGTAGTCGAAGGTTACGTTGGAGCTGCTGCTGAACTTTATGATAGATGCAAGGCGAATGATGGAGACGATGGTGACGAATGTGCCAACGATAAACACTAGCTGAAGTTAGCAGAGCTCAGAGCATGGACAATAGATGGACTTACTGGCTCCGATGCCGATCTTCTTCTTCCAGTGTATGTTGAGTGACCTGACTTGCCAAAGAGGCAAAGCGAGCATCCAAAGATCAAGGACGATATTAACTGCCGCGTGTGACCATGCAATGGCGGGAGCGCTCGAACAGCGTCCGCTCTGTTGCGTATCGTTCCACCTCGTCCAATTGTAGCTGATGGGTAAGCACTGCAAGGCAGCCGCGAGGTCGAACGCCAGACCGTACATTATGATGAAACCGATGGTGAGCCAAGCGAGGCGACGGAAGTGAATGTCGGGAAAGATTCGGAGATAGAAGAACATGATCGACAGCTTTAGTATCGCAAACTTGGTAAGGTAGACGAGGGTGATGAAATAAAACGTGAAGCCGAAGCTGGTGATTTGATGAGGCGTCAACGTCCATATGTCGCGGCCAATGCCGAACTCGGCCAACCTGTAGTTGAGAACAGTGCAGGGGATGCAGCCCAATGCAACGGCTATTATCGTCCAGTCATCAGGCCCGAGGCCGAGATCCGTGACGAACTGCCTATATATGGCGCGGATGGTGACCAGGACGATGGCGAATACGGTGAGGACAGTCGATGTCACGGTATACATGGTCGCGATGTTCTGCACGGAGAAACCACATGCTGTGCTTGACGAGTTCTTGACCACTATCAGGCAAGGGACGTTAGTCTGACCATGTGTCCAGGGGAGGGGTCCTCTTAGGTTACTGTACCGAGGACGTCCTCGATGCGACAGCTTGATGTGACACAAGCCTCTACTGCGGCAGTGAACCGTTGATCCGTGCAGAAGCAGGTGACATTGGTCCCGCAAGTCGATGCGAGAGCACTCTTGAGGTAGCACGGAACTGCACAGGACGGCGTGCCTGGTGGCAGCTGGGCGAGAGCGATGTCCAGCATCGCACAGAGCAAGACGAGGATCCCGGGAAGACGCATCGTGGGTGCTGTTGAACCCGGACTGGTGAGTTGGAACTGAGAACTGCCGCCTTCAACTTCGAGCAAGAGGAACCAGGGCTGCTGGACGCGAGCCCAGCGGGGACTGTGGACTCTTTACATGTCGAAACACAGCAGTGTGACCCTCCGGGACAGGTCGACAAGGGACTACCGTAGAAGGATGGCCAGGTCGGTCCTGAGACGCACAGCCGGGGCCTTCCCTTGAATAGCTAAGCTCTAGACATTAGCGCCGCCCTAACCCGGCGGCCACGAGGGGTGGCACAGCAGACCCGAAGCTTTCCCTCGTGGCCTCCCCTGCAGGCTGACTGTGGCCCCTGGTTGCGAGGAACGTGGCGTCGAGGTTAGCACTAAGCAGGAACATGCTTTCCCCACGGTGCCTGTGCGAGAGTCATGATCTGCAGCGGGCAGTACTCCGTAGGGCGTTCCACGGTCGGGGAGGTGTTGGTATTTCTGGGTCGATCGAGCCGTCGACCTGTTTCTGAGCATCACTTGTTGGTGATGATCTGCCTGCTTGTGCTGAGGAGCAAAAACTCCTCCGAGCCAGGCGGCGAGCCGAGGGTCTCCTTCCCCATGCGGGCGGGCGGTAATCCGGCCCAACCACCCCACCGACGCGAACGCGTCGCGCCACCTGCAAACCCTCCCTTCTTCAAAACCACCATTTCGAGCGCATTTTGAGGTTATCATGGATGATTTTGTTGCTGGAGTGTGCGCCGATAGGCTGCCGAAGCAGGATTTCACTCCTAAGAAGAAAGCAGCTATCTGCGCCGCCCATTTCGCAGGTGTAACGCACCGCCGCATTGCCGAGCTTACGCGGGCCTCCAAGTCAACAATCACCCGCATTATCTCGGACTGGAAAAACAACGGCAACCTAGCCAAATCGCCTCGGAATGGTCGCAATGGATTCACAAATGCCCAGAGAAGGCGCGTACTAACTATCGTCAAACGCAAGCGAAAAGCGACGTGGCCAGAGATCATACAAGCCATGCCCTTCCAGATCTCCAAGACATCTATAAAGCGTATCATTCACGAAGCTAAGCTACGTAAGTGGAAAGCTCAGAAGAGGATTCCGCTATCTAAAGAAGCACGAAGAGCTAGGCTTGCATTTGCAAGAGAGTGGCTACCAAAAGTCGACGAATTGCAGGAGGTACGTGTAAGTGAAGTTGGTGGGATTATGCTGACTTGATCTAGGTGATTTTCACGGATGAGTCGTCCTGCCAGAACTCCACGAACGCACCTGCGCAATGGGTATTCCGCTTCCCAAGCGAGAAATGGGACGACCAGTTCGTCAACCTTAAATCGCACGTTAAGGCGAACCTATCCATTATGGTTTGGGGTGCCATTTACCTGAAGAACGGCGTGGGGTGCCGGTCAGAGTTGGTGATAATGCAGCGCGAACCGCAGCCAGATCCTAACAAGCGAAAGAAGGGCTATACGGCCTGGAGTTATCAGAAGGCATTGCGCGATGGCTTCATCCCAATATACGACGATTGGCAGGTATTTCAGCAGGATAATGCAGCAATTCATTGCGCAGAGAGTACTATGGATTGGCTCGCCGTCAGGGGCATTGCGGTACTACCAGACTGGCCAGCACACTCGCCAGATCTCAACCCAATTGAGCACATTTGGGCCTCAATGAAGCGCCAGCTAGTAAAACTGTTTCCAAACATTATGGCCCTCAAAAGAAACGACGGTGATACCTCCCAATTTGAGGAGTGTTTGAAGTCGGCGTGGGCAGCAGTGCCGGAACGGCTGATCACAAAGGTCCTCACTACAATGGACCGTCGCCTTCGCGCAGTGGCCCGTGCGCGCGGAGGATACACCAAATATTGAAGCCGCCATCGCCAGCTTCAAAATGCAATAATTACTACTCGATTCTGACCTCGTTTGACGGTTCTGTGGCCTTTTGTCGTGTGCAAGTACTGTGCAGCCAATTTTGGTGGGGGGGCTTGGGCCGGATTAATTTGGACCTGATCAGTAGGTTCCGGGGCTCCTTCCAAGCTCGGACTGTTGTCCGTCCACCGTGCGACATCGTGGCTGGGCAGCCGTCAATGTTCGGACGGTCTGGGACGGTCTGGGTCGGTCTTCGGCTTCGCTTGTCGACAAGCTCCTCCCCGCCGGACACTACCAGACACTACCAGAGAGACGGCTCAGTCATGCACACGGCAGTTGCCAGGTCCATTACCGCTCGGTTGGGGGATCTGCGGGCTAGCTCCGAGGCTGGTCCCGACAGTCTGTCCAATGGCACGATTCTCCAAGCGCTGACTCGTGTCGTGTAACTCTGTGTGATGAATGCAAGCCACGCTTTACCCTCCAGGGTCTGGCTCACTTCACCATTTGCGCCACACGGCGACCATGGACAGTCCGCCGGTTTAGCGCACACCCGCTCGGGTGCTACCGAACATCCGACTCCGAGGGCATCGAGGCGGCGAGCAAAATAAACCGGACATCTTACCACTGTTGCTCCACCAACAATGTCCAGTTTATTTTGCTCATCACTTGGGCATGTCGTCGGCAATTCACTGGATGGCCCAGGGTAATGCCGAGTCCATCGACGCGCTATCTGCGAGGAGCCCCATGCACCATTGAGCAAGCCCCAGGGGACTCTGCGGCAACTTCTCCGGTCGGTCGCCCAAAGGCCTGGGCCTGGGCCCGATCGAGCTACTTGCATGACTCTGTCGCCACAAGAACACGATGGAAGACAGGCAAATCGGAGAATTGGACGTGTCCCAATCGTCGCGACATGTCACTTTTTTCCCCCATATATCGGCACCAGTTCCACTGCAACCTACATATATCGTGGCATCCTTGGCGTCGCCTTCCGCCGCGGCACAGGCTGAATCTCGATAGAGGGGTTGGCAGGACCTGCTCAAGCTCGAGAGATCGGTCAGCACAACAACACAATCTGCGGCACAGGCGTCGCTATTGTGTGGGTGGTCGTCCAATAAGGGAAACCAGAACGTGCAGGGCATACCCTCCCATGGCAGTAGTGGGTAAGGTACCATCAGGGGACGCCGGCCGGTTGCAACCCGCACGAAACATGCTTGAGAAGCCCGCTTGTCTCCTTGTGGTGCTTGCAATACCATCACAATCTCCACCTACATTGCAATTTTACACGTGGTACAGCACGAACTGCGGAGGTGACGCGCGGACTGTGCCAGGGCCGGTGAAACCATCTCAAGCCTGGTTGTACTGCTACGCCAGTATTCAGCGGTGCGGGCTTCGTCAGGGCCAGCTTCATCACCAGATCCCAATGGCCAGCTGGAAACTCGGGGTTGTCCCCGTGGCGTGTGGGTTATGTGATCCTTGTGGAACAAGGGGGGTCCTGTCCGTGGCGAGCCTTAATGTCTCGATATCCTGCGGCGCCTTGCTCACCCTTCGGGACCCTTCGGGGACCTGTCGACCCGAACCCTGACGACCGCGCCGAGGCGGCGGCCATGAAAACCGGGACAGCGGCCACACTCGACAATCGCAAGTTATCCCGGTTTTTTTTGGCCACCGCTCTCGCGCACCCGGTCCCCTTGCGAGATTTCGACTCTCCGAGCTCTGCACCGTCGCGAAGGGCTTCCCTTCTGCGCGACAATGGAGTGATGGCGTGCCTGTACCTCCACCCACCCTCGCCACCCTGCAGGGTTGTCCTTGTGGGTTGTCGCAGGACCCCCTGTAACGATCAAACAGCCATACGGAGTATGCATTATCTGATCTTTTGTTAAGCATGGAGACAAAGACAATGCCAAGACACAGGTTCGTGGTCGTCATTCGGGCGCCCACGCTGTTCGCGCTCCGCAGGGCCCGGCAGTTAACCCCGGGAGGCACACGCATATGCTCCTGTGCAGTACGCAGGGGGGGGCTACCAGGCTCCGACACATTTCCCAAGTCCTGGATTTCGAGCTCCCGTCTCTCCTGCTCGTCGTGCTTGCCCGAAGAAAGTCAACGGCGAGTCCTTTGTGCACCGTCTTTTCTGCTGAACTACAATGATTATGGGCGGCTGTTTTTCCTTTGTTTTATTGCTCATTGCACCACCACTTTTTCTCCCTTCATTCGCTCAATCTTTTGCAACAAGACTAGCACCTGAGGTTCAAGTGCATACGGTTGCAAGCGAGAGGACCCTGTAGTAAAAAGAAACCTTGGATACCAATCTACGCAAACGATGGAACGGGGGGACTGCACGTTGTAGTGGTTTCTCAACCCGCGGAGCAAAGTGCGCAATCTCCCGCGCTCCGCGCGCACGGTCACTGCCGTTCGTCTCGCTAACGCTCGACTCTCCCCCCTACCTCATCTCAACATAATTATTTCTCTCACTATAACGCTACGCGACGGTTACACCACCCTGATTAACCTAACTTTGCCTGCGGCGGCCCATGACGCTACGCGACGGTTATACAACCCTGATTAACGAATCTTTGTCTCCGACTGCCAAACACCACCCTCCGCTTATACGCGCTTATACGGTTGCCCTATAGCGGCAAACCACGCTCCGCCCGGACATGCCTAAATAACCCTACATAATAAATCATCCAACCCCTAAATCTAAATGTCCCCCCTTCTAACCTCAAACATATAACCCTAACCTTAACTATAATTCCTCTCCCCTTTCTAACCCCAAACATATAACCCTAACCCTGACCTTCCTCCTAAATACCTGTCTCTCTGCCTTATTCCATACCTTCCTGTCCCTCTATCTTACTCCCCTCTTCTTCTGGCCCTTTCTTCTACTCTGCTCGATTCGCCCTGCCGGCGGCCTATGACGCTACGCGACGGGTTCCTACCTTGTTAAACATCCCCTCCTACGGTAACAAACGACCACCTTTCCCCTGTACGGGCTACTGCCGCGTCCCCTCCCTACACTCATATATCCCGTCTCCCGTCTCCCGTCTCTTATCTTCCTTAATTCTTTATAATTATAACGGCTTCGCCGGCCCTTGCTCGGGCATATTGCGCTTCGCGCCCCGGGTTCGGGGCTACCCTGTCACACATATAATACGGCTCCGCCGGCCCTGCCTCGGGCATATTGCGCTTCGCGCCCCGGGTTACCGAGTCTATTTCTCCTTAAACCTACTCCGTTATACTTGTGCTTCGCCTACTTATTTCGCCTGGATATAGATAGCGGTTCTACCACCCTAATTAATAGCTGATTCCGCTACCGCATGGTTCTGAACCCTCCGCTTACACCGGTTCCACTACTTAACCTTAACTGTTCTGCTACCGCATGGTTCTGGTCCATGGCCACACGGGTTCCACCACCCTGATTATCTAACTATGCTTTATCTCTAGCCTTAATTATATAACCCTAACCCTGACCGCATACGAGTTACTACGGGGTTCCCTCCCTATGGCTAGTTTCTTCCTACTAGAAAGTAACTACTGCCTGATTATCGGTAGTCGCTTTCTAATTGTACTTTTATATCTATTGTCGGTAGTCACTTTCTAAGCGAATATCTATCTACATTTCTTAACTTTTATTCATAATTGTTTTCGAAAGTAAATCTCCTTTCCTAGTTTCATAATGGGTTTCAATATTATTACTTCAATTTAACGTAATCCACAAGTGACCCGCCAATACAAGTGACCCGCCAATTTTCCTGTCCTCTCGTACAAGCTATCTTCTTTCCTCTTCTTCTCCACCAATAATTATGCCACAGCAATCAAACGAAGCCGACATTATTCTGGCGCTAAATGCGCTTCGATCAGACCCAAAATTAAACGTACTCAAGGCTGCACAGATCTATAATGTACCTCGTACGACGCTCCGGGACCGACACCGTGGCGCACAGCGAAAACAAGACGTACGACCACCCTGCCAGAAATTAACTTCGTACGAAGAGGATAGTATCGTACGATACGTAATCGACCTAGATTCGCGTTCGTTTCCACCGCGACTTAGTGGTGTTCGAGAAATGGCGGATCGACTCCTTGCCGTACGCGACGCGCCACGCGTCGGAACGAACTGGGCCTCGAACTTCGTACGACGACGACCTGAGCTCCGTACGCGTTTTAATCGAAGAATCGACTACCAGAGGGTCCTCTGCGAAGATCCAGACGTGTATCGCGCGTGGTTTGAGCTCGTACGAAATATAATCGCGAAATACGGGATCCACGATAACGATATCTATAACTTTGACGAAACGGGCTTCGCGATGGGCAAGATCTCTACCGAAACTGTCGTTACGACCTCCGATCGACGCGGGAGGCCAAGAGCCGTACAACAAGGCAATCAGGAATGGGTTACAGTAATCCAGGGTATCGCGTCGTACGGCTATTCAATCCCGCCGTACATTATCTTCGCCGGGAAGGTCCACCTCGACTCCTGGACCGCGAATAGCGCTCTACCGGCCGACTGGGTAATCGCGCTTTCAGAAAACGGTTAGACGACGAACGAGAGAGGCCTAGAATGGGTAAAACACTTCGATTTCCATACAAAGAGTCGTACGAAGGGTACCCACCGCCTCCTTATCCTCGACGGCCACGAGAGCCACCATTCCGTCGATTTCGAGCTCTACTGCAAGGAACAGAATATTGTTACCCTCTATATGCCTGCTCATTCGTCGCATAAGCTCCAGCCTCTCGATGTTAGGTGTTTTGGACCTCTGAAACGGGCGTACAGTAAAGAAATTGAAGGTCTAATGCGGGCGCACGTAACCCACGTTTCAAAGGAGGACTTCCTCCCAGCCTTTTATAAGGCGTACGACGCTGCAATGACCAAATCAAACATCCAGGCAGGCTTCAGAGCGACAGGCCTAGTACCGTACGACCCGAATTATGTGATTTCGCAGCTAGATATGAAGTTTCATACGCCGACACCGCCAGGTTCCTCTGCTGGACTACCACCCCTATGGGTTTCAAAGACGCCGAACAACCCAATTGAGACCGAATCGCAGACGAAGTATATTGAAAATCGCATCGTACAACACCAGAATAGCTCACCGTCGTCCATTGTTGAGAGCGTACGGCAGCTGAGAAAAGGAGTTATGATGATGTTACACGAGCAGGACCTTATGCGCCAAGAGCTCGCCGAACTTCGAGATGCAAACGACCGCCTCAGCCGCCGTCGTCGTACGAAAAGAAAGCAGCTACAGAAAGGAGGGTCCCTCACGATTGATCAGGCAAAGGATTTAAAGGCTCAAATCGATGCGACGCAGCAGTTGATAGCGGAAACGAGTTAGAATAGTGGTCGTACGAGGAGGCCCGAAACGCGCGCGCGACGATGTGGCGTCTGCGGCGAGCCCGGGCATAATGCTCGTACGTGTCAGAAAGTTGTATCTACCTCTGAAGAAGAGGATTCCTCATAGTTTCAATTAATTTAAGGCGTCATGGTTGAATTATCTTACACATTGTCGTACGAGTGCCTTTAAAGTTGGCGGGTCACTTGTATTGGCGGGTCACTTGTGGATTACGTTATGCGATAACGACAATAGGCCTCTTCCCTATCTTCGTCATCGAATCGTCGCATGGGCATATATTAATCACCAAGCATCAGCGTGCTGCGATTCCACTCTTCGCGTGAGTACGAGGGCCATTTCCCATTATATATGGTGAGCCGCCGCGTGTATTATGTCGGTTTGGAGTCGAGGAACTTCAAGAAGCTCTTGAGACAGCGCAGTCTGCCAAGAATGCAGAACTGGCGCGCTAGTATATGAAAAAAAAAATGATAAGCATGAAATCCACATGTCAAGCGAAATGTGCGCAGATCCCTTGTGGGCAATAGCTCTGCGACCATGCAACGAATCTCTGACGGCATCCGATCCATGTGCACTGAGTACAATGTGCTCAAGGTGTGTGACAGGAAAGTAGCGAACAATGCTGAATAGAAAGGTCTATTTATAGTGTCCCCGGTGGTCCGACATGTCTGATGAGTGTGGTGTTTGGGGATTGCAGAAACAATGTAGAGAGTGCTCACCGAGTCCAGCCACTTGCACCCCGCTCCTGCCGTTTGACCCCAGATCAACGCGCACGGATTTTGCCGTGGCTGCATTTTCAAGCAGGCAGTTCCTGTGCTTCCACCCCTCGCGCTGTCGTCATAAGCACGTCACGGCACCTTGGCTGGCCTGGGCTGGGGTTTGTTTCCCTGCCCGTCCCGTCCTGTGTGGTGCTCTTCTGCTGTGCTCTGCTCTGCTGCATGCACGCAAGCACGCACGCACGCACGACCGACCCGTGGCCCTCCGCCGCCTCTTCTGCCTCTTCTCCTCGCCTCGCCCACTCTGCTGAAACCCGTCGCCCTCTCTGTCGACCACAGCACCATCCGTCGCTCCCTGCACAAAACCACATCGTCAACCTCGCCGTCGACTCCATCGCTGTCTGTGTCGACGCCTGGAGCGTCCGTCACCCTCAAGAGGCTTCGGTCCGTTCGAAACATCCCCGGCCGGAAGCCGCCCGACTGCCGCTCATCCGCATCACGCCAATGTCGAACCACTCCTGCATCTGAACATCGAACCACCCTCCAAGATGACAGCCCAGCAGGATCCCACTGCTCTCTTCGGCCTCGGAGACCGCGACGGCGTTTACTACGATGGCCTCACCTCCGCCGACGAGACGCCCGTCTCCATCGCCCAGGAACAGCACCTTTTCACCAACCATCACTCGTGGACCTTCCCCGACACCTTTAGTACCCCTGACCTCTACCAGAACCAGTGGGATCTCGCCCAATCCCAAAACCAGCAACAGCGGCAACAGCATCAACAACAACAACAACCACAACAACGGCCGCAGCAGCAGCAAACATACGACGCGCGAGGGTCTATGCAGCCGCCGCAGTTGCAGCAGCGGCAGGCAGGCAATAGCACTCCGCCGTATGCAATCAGCGCCGTCGCCAACCACTCTGTTCCGACTACGGTTGCGCCTGCATCCACCCATCTGCCATCGGCGACTGTCGCGCCTTCCAATATCAGCCTCGTGACCAGCGTAGCGGCTCAAGGCACCAGCAGCAACAACAACACCAACACCATGCTTACCCATGCTCAACGTCAGAAGCTGCAGAATATTGCCATGCCATCGCATGCCCCCTACCACTCGCCGCCAAAGAGCGAGCCCAGTCCCGATTCCGCTGGTGGTATGGCCAAGTCGCTTTCGGCTTCGCTTTCCCCAGACGGCCACAGCGGCAAAGGTGCGAATCGCAAGCGCAAGTGTTCTACCGACGACGAGGACGAAGACGAAGAAGACGAGTTTGGCAACCACCAGCCGGTCAAGAAGACGGCGCACAACATGATTGAGAAACGGTACCGGACAAACCTGAACGACAAGATTGCAGCTCTGCGAGACAGCGTCCCCAGTCTGCGAATCATGTCGAAGAGTGCCAGAGGCGAGGACACCACGGAAGACCGGGAGGAATTGCAAGCCTTGACACCAGCGCACAAGCTCAACAAGGCAACTGTAAGTGAAGTCAAGGTCAGAGGCGCTGCACTCTTCTCACTGACGATGCCTGGCAATAGGTTTTGAGCAAGGCAACCGAGTACATTCGCCACCTGGAGAAGCGCAATGCCAGGCTTCTGGAAGAAAATATGGCCATGCAGCAACGCATAACGTAGATCCCGGTCAAGCGGGCCACCCGGTCGAGCGGGCCACCCTTAAGGTATTCGGACGACAATGTATAGAAAAAATCAACCAGAACGCCTTAAATCAATTCAAACTAGATGAAATCCTCTTCTTCAGAGGTAGACTCAACTTTCTGACACGTACGCGCATTATGGCCGCGCTCGCCGCAAACGCCACAGCGTCGCGCGCGCGTCTCTGTCCTCCTCGCGCGACCACTATTTTGACTTGTTTCTGCCCGTAACTGCTCCGTCACGTCGATCTGAGACTTCAAATCCTTTGCCTGGCTAATCGTTAGTGACCCTCCTTTCTGTAGCTGCTTTCTTTTAGTACGTCGACGGCGGCTTAGGCGGCTATTTGCGTCTCGAAGTTCGGCCAGGTCGCTCTCCATAAGGGCCTGTTTATGCACCATCATTAACACTCCTTTGTTTAGCTGCTGTAAGCTTGCGATAATTGAAGTTGGGGAGCTATTTTGATGTCGTACGATACGATTCTTGATGCATTCGGTCTGCGATTCGGCCTCAATTGGGTTATTCGGCGTCTTTGAAACCCAAGGGGGTGGCAGTCCAGCAGAGGAACCTGGCGGTGTTGGCGTGTGAAACTTTACATCCAGCTGCGAAATCACATAATCCGGGTCGTACGGTACTAGGCCAGTTGCTCTAAAGCCTGCCTGGATATTTGACTTTGTCATCGCAGCGTCGTACGCCTTATAAAAGGCTGGGAGGAAGTCCTCCTTTGAGATATGGGTAATATGCGCCCGCATAAGGCCTTCGATTTCTTTGCTGTACGCCCGTTTTAGAGGTCTAAAGCACCCGACATCGAGAGGCTGGAGCTTATGCGACGAATGAGCAGGCATGCAGGGCGTAATTATATTCTGGTCCTTGCAGTACAGCTCGAAATCGACCGAGTGGTGGCTCTCGTGGCCGTCGAGGATAAGGAGCCGGTAAACGCCCTTCGTACGGCTCTTCGTATAGAAATCGAAGTGTTTTACCCATTCTAAGCCATTCTCATTCGTCGTCCAGCCGTTTTCAGAAAGCGAGATAATCCAGTTCGGCGGTAGAGGGCTTCGGACGTCCAGGAGTCGAGGTGGACCTTGCCTGCGAAGATGATGTACGGCGGGATCGAATTGCCGGACGCCCCGATACCCTGGATTACTGTAACCCATTCTTGATTGCCTTGTTGTACGGCTCTTGGCTTACCGCGTCGATCGGAGGTCGTAACGACAGTCTCGGCGGAGATCTTACCCATCGCAAAGCCCGTCTCATCGAAGTTGTAGATATCGTCGTCGTATATCCCGTATTTCGCGATTGTATTCCGTACGAGCTCAAACCACGCGCGATACGCGTCCGGATCTTCGCAGAGGACTCTCTGATAGTCGATTCTTCGACTAAAACGCGTACGGAGCTCAGGTCGTCGCTGTACGAAGGCTGAAGCCCAGTTCTTCCCAACGCGTAACGCGTTACGGTCGCGTAGTAGTCGATCCGCCATTTCTCGAACACTACTAAGTCGCGGTGGAAATGATCGCGAATCTAGGTCAATTACGTATCGTACGATGCTCTCCTCTTCGTATGAGGTTAATCTCTGGGTAGGCGATCGGACATCGCGTTTCGCAGGTCGGCCGCGGTGTCGTTCTTGAAGTGTCGTACGAGGCACGTTATAGACTGATGCAGCCTTTCGAACGCTCAATTTTGGATTAGATCGAAGCGCATTAAGCGCTAGAAGTAAGTCGCTTTCAATTGATTGTCGTACCATTATTGCTTGCAGAGAAAATGGATGAAGGCTGGGTATGTATGAAGGAGCGAGAAAAGTGGCCCGCTCGACCGGGTGGCCCGCTTGACCGGGATCTACGTTATTCATGTCTTATTTTCAACTCAAGTGAAGGCTGTGTATACCCCAACTACATGCCACCCCGTTCCGTGTCTGATGATTCTCTATATGCACATCCTGATGAATGAAATAAGCTATGTGAACGGCTCTTAAAACTCTCTCTGGGCGGCTGTGGGCGAGACTCGCGTACGTTTGGGACGACTCCTCGGAACGGCAAGCGCCGACATCGAACGCATCTATAGGGCCCAGGTTGAAGCCGGTGAAAAAGACGATAGTACAGCTGAATCCAGCGACGTCGAATTATCTAGTGAGCCAGAGGACTGTATTATCGTTGCATCGAGGCGTTGTTGAAAAAAGGGATAGATCCAGGGTCTGTTTTTTGATGGGGTGGATTTTGGGGGGCGTCGGATGGGGGGGTGCGTCGGAAGTGGGGGAGGGACGTATGATGATCCGTAGAGGGTAAGGCAGTAAACGTAGTAGCACAATGACGTCGACAAGAGCGAACTGTCATCGTGAGCCCGTTATCATGACAGCATTGCATCGTCATGGTTACGAGAGTGCTGCTTGATTGCCATTAAGGCGCGATCGTTATTTCCGTGTGAGAAAAACAGGTTGTGCTCTGGATTAGACAGATGCGACCCAATCAATTTATGGCGATGATGGCTGACGCGACAAACAAGTCAGCCAGCCTCCGACTTGGGAAGCGTTCCTGCATCCTCGTCTCATAAGCCCTTGCTTGGCTGATGGAGGACGGCATCACCGAACAGTACTGTGCAGTGCCTCTTCTGATTGCGACACCGAGAGGATCTTGCAGTTATTAAAACTGGTTTACGTAAGTTGGGGAAGGCAAGAATTCACTTCCAGTCGCCCACCGGTCGCCCAACAGTCAGCCACCAGCCGCTTTACATATCGCACTGAAGGCTATCGCACATTATACTGGACCAAGACGAGCAGGCGTGTGGACAACCGCATCATAGTGACAGTGGCGGCTGAGGAAATCAAAGCAAAAGCAAAGTCCTGATGACTCAGGACCTGGAGCGATGGGAGTTACTCGAAAACCTCGGTAAGGGCGCCTTTAGCCAGGTCTACCGCGCACGAGACCTGGAAGGAGATGCTGGCGAGGTAGCCGTGAAGGTGGTGCCAAAGTTCAAAATGAACAACCAGGGGGTGAGTCTCGCGGTTGCCTCCCTGAACGTCCATATGCATATGACCTCCACGCCCATCGACGCTCGCACCTATGGTGTTATCGCCTTGCGGTGTCGTCAGCCTCAGCTTTCATTCGGAAATGTCGCTATTATCGCTAACTCACACTGAGACGCAGAGGGCAATGGACAGTGACACTGCAGGCAGCATTCCGTTGTTTGCAACCTGGAGGCGTGATAGATATTTCCGATATGAGCTACCATCCGCCTGGTCCAATAGGTCCCGGCAGCGCGTGGATCGATTGGTTCCGGATGCTTGCCGTCCTCACGAATGCTGCCGGCTTGGATATTGGCATCTACCGGGGTGATCGTGCCCAACGTGAGCTGAGGCACGTTGGCTACAAAGTCTTGCGCCGGCCTCGGGACCGGTACTTAATCACTACGGGGATCTCCGTTTACGGGGGTCGCTGCCTACTAGTTAGCGTGGTTGAGCAGATGAAAGGCATCCTGACGCGAGCCATGGAGTTTGTGCCAGTTTCTCTGTCGCGAGAGGAGATGATGAGCCGACTGGAGAGGGAAATCCTTCAGGATGGAATGACGATTAGAGTGTAAGTCCCACCTTTCCTCCCAAGAGGTATTGTTCGGTTTTGACCTGACATTGCAGGGAGAGAGTCTTTGCACAGAAGCCTGGCGGCGGGTGATTGAAGCCGGGGAATGGGATCCCGGAGAATAGGGAGACTGAGGATGAGCGTGAGTTTCGCGTTCTGGTTGCGGCGTGCCGGTTACATTGTACTGCATCTAATAATCGTATTGCATGAAAGGAGCAACTGCTGAGGCTGTTGGTGCGCGCACCGCGACGCCCATGTGGTGACGCACTCTGGACAAGGTCAGGAATTATGATGTGGTATTTCATTACCGACGCGTTTACATGCCGCCGAGAGTCCGGATCGACTAGTGGTGTGGTCGCTGGGCTGTTGTGCGAGGCTCCAGAGGGATATAACTGAGGCGAACCGCCGGCGTTGTTCTCTTCTAGCCTGATCCACGTCTGCTCCATATTGATTCTCGCCTGTCTCGACCGTTCCCTCTCGACTCGATCTCATGAACCCCATCTGCGATCATGTCAGCTGGAAATGATACCCCTCAGATCTTGGGGGGACCAGAAACAAGCTCTCGCACTTGGTGGCGCCTCCTTGGGGGGCTGTTTAGATTAGGTAGGAACATTGCAGAGGATGATTGGTCGGCGGTTTCGGGCCCAGAGAGTGAGGCTGTCGATACCGGGTTGGCCGTCGGGTCTGGGGAACAGCCGCACACTTCTCCCGGTATGACCAGTCTACAACTACCACAGATGGATAGATTCAGGACAACCGCTAACATGAGTTTCTTCGATAGATGACAGTGTTTCCGCCTCTCAACGCCGGCAGGATGACATCGCCTTGATGCCTCATCGATGGCGTGTGGAGCGTTGGAACTCAGACCAGGATCTCCAGTCGGCCACAGAGCTTTGGCTGGATGCCCTTCCATCGCGGTTCCATCTCCCTCAAGACATTCTTGGGCCCCTTCTAGGCAGAAGCAACGCCCATCATTCCGTAGTTCGCGATCACACGGGGCTTCTTGGATTCTGTGCGACATATACCATGAATGCAGATAACGCTGGGGACCTCGTCGGGTCTCTGGGAGTTCTCATCGTGAGGTCGACACATCGAGGCCGAGGGATTGGAAAGAGTCTCCACGACGAAGCGTTAGGGCGCTTACGCGAGCAGCACAAAGTGCGCTGTCTGCGACTTGGTTCGACCTTCCCCCGACTACTGATCGGCGTGCCATTCGACGAACCCTTCGTGGGATGGTTCCGAAGGCGGGGTTTGGCATATTGATGAGAGTAGGTCGGACTCGGCATCGCAAGCCTCGGACTGGCTTTTGAGGCTAAGCGGCTGGCAGGAGAAAAGAACCACATCGCCCGAAGACGCGACGCTGGAAGTCCAGATATTTCACCAGTTTGGGCTGAGGTTCTCGCCATGCAACAACAACATGTTCGAAGACGCACTTAGGCTCGTGGCCCAAGTCACCCGCGGGAAAGACCTTGGCTGGTATGCACAACTTCATACCCTCATCCACGGGCCTTATCTCGGGGCCAGACTGTTAGATTCAGCAGGCTGCTTGAAAGTTTGTTTAGCAGTCGCCTGGTTCGTCTCCTGTCACCCTTGAAGCAAGATATGAGAGACCTCCACGCCGACGTGGCCTCTCGCTGGGACTGCCAGAACTACTATGGATACGACAGATGGTTTGCCGGTCAACGCAACGGAGCCTCTGGCCTATCCAACCTCAACACGGAGTACATTCGTCGCTACAAGGAGGCTATTCCGTGGATTCAGGGCAGGATCGTCTCGAACTCTAGGTACCGCACTGATAACACCAAGTTCTGGGGTCAGTGTTCCTCCGATTTAAGAGGCTGGGAGTCGGAACACCTGTGCCCCGAAGGCCTGGCTGAGTACAGACACTGCCGACTGGTTCTCCAGGCCTTGCACACCACTCCATCGTTGCGAAGTTTTGCCTAGTATCTTTGCTGGACATTGCCTTATTCAAACCTTCCAGATGAATGATATGTCTCAGAGGCAACTACTTCCTTTATTCTCATGTTCCAATAGTGGCGACAAGACAACGTTCAGGAGTATCTCACTGCCAGCCAACATTACCCAAGTATGCGCGACCTATGAGCAGTAGATATTTTGCAAACAGGTGGAGTTAAGCATGCAAATCATTTGGCAAATTGCCAGTTCAACCAAATATCGCCCCGTGGCCGTCCAACTAATCAAATATCGGGGCAAACTTGCATTCCTATGAGAACTGCGTATGGGCCCCGGCTCCCCTGGAGGGCCAGCGATCAATCTGTTAAGCCTAACATGTTGAATAGGCCAATCCTAGCACCTTGTATCCTCCCTAGCCTTCGGGGAAGCAACTGAAGCAAGGGGAAGCTGCAACAAGGAGTGGACTGCACCACAAGAAACCAAAGGAGCGGGTGAGAGAGTGGGTTTGAGCACATCGTATGCTTATGGAAACCTCAACGCCCTGGCTTACTTCGCAGTGCCAATGTAGGCAAAGCATTCCTTGAAGGCCTTGGCCTCGAGACCGAAGAGACCGCCATGGTCAAGCATGGAGGCAGGGTACCATGTAGTCGGATCAATGCGCTCCAGGAGTCCCGGGTAGCTAGTCAAGCCGGTCGGCTCGGTGACGCCCCAAGGGTTGCGAAGAATGATGTACTGCTTGTGGCCGAGGACAGTGTAGCCGAGGACGGAATAGGCATGGTTGGCAACGATGTTGCTGCCGGTGTACACATCGCCGGTGGCGTAGGTCCAGGCCGTCATGGGGTTGATGGTCTTGAGGTTGACACAGTTGGAGCGGACCAGCCCGAGCAAGTCGTTGGCAGAGTGCTTCTCGGTAATGTAGTAATGGGTGTCGCGCCCGTTGATCTGGGCCATGGCCTTGACCGGATCGCCGCTGTGCGTCTGGGTGATGTCGGGCTGCTGAGAGGAGCTGCCGGTGATCCATTTGGCGAAGGCCTTCTCGTACAACGAGGGCCAGATGTCAGCTCCGTCGCTGGAGCGGCAGTACAGGGGCTCGTTGTTCGAGTTATTCATGGGGATCTCGTAGTTGACCTCCACAGTGTCGGTGCGGGCGTTGTTGTCGCCGCCCTTGTCGTGGAATTTGATAACGAGGCGCTTCTTCTCGTCCTTGTTCTGGTGGACGCGGGTCGAGCGGTTGATGGCAGAAGGGTCCGACCAGAAGACGGAGAAGAGGGCGGCAATCAGCCAGCTGTTGCTGGTACAACCCTGGATCGGGTCGTCGAAGCTGTGCATAGTGTTCCCGTTGACAATCTGGAACGTGGCAAGGTCGCCAATGACGCGCTTGCGGAACATCTGGAAGTAATAGTCGTACATGTCGCGCCACGAACCGTTCGGCGGCATCCAGTGGCCCTTTTGCATTCTGAAGGGAGTGACAAGCTCGTTGACGGTCATGGTCACCTCCCGGTTGGTGACCGTCTTGCCCAGAGAGTGCGCATCGATGATCAAGCGCAGCTTGCCATTCTGCATGCGAGCCATCTTCACACGGGCTTCACCCATGTCCTTCAGTCCAATCTTCTCGAGGTCCTTCAACTGCTGGACCTCCGAGAGATCAGGGGTTTCGAGATCGTGCTCGTTTAGGATCTTCATGTCCTTCTCCGTCAGCTTCTCCGCTTTCCTATCTTTCTTGTTGAGCTTCAGTCCGGCAAAGAGCACGGAATCATGCTTCATATCGAAGAGTTCATCATATTCCGTCTGGAGGACACTGGCCAGGATCTTCGCCGAGGCCATCGTACGAGCCTCAATCTTTCGCCCAAGCAGGGCTTCGGCAAGGGCATATGGATTGACGGCACCCACTCTGACATCCTTGGGGGGGGCGTCAGCGTGCAGGCTCCGTCCTCCGGAGGAGAGCGTTGATGCCGGTTTCACATCGCCGAGCTCATCGTAGTCTGACTGGAAACTGTCAGAGCCAGGAGACATTTGCTTGTTGGCCTTGTGGCCAAGGATGGCTTCAACGAGTGCGGATGGGTCGACGACGAGGAGCTTGGAATTTTTGGACGAAGAATCAGAAGACGCAAATTGGATATGATCCATGTTGACGGCAGTTGCACGCATGTGATGAAGGGGAGATAGTGAATTGAACTTGGCAAGTGATTAGGCGGTTAAATGATGAGACGTCCTGTCTGAGGAGGAGAAGGAAAGGAAAAGATCTTGAAGCTGGGTTGCTTCTGGGGACTTTATGCTTCTTCGCGGCTCGTTCTACACCGATGTTTTCCGGGCAGTAACGCATCATTGGTTCAGAATGAAGCTTCAACCGTGCAGATTTCCTCGTATCTATGACACATCTTGACTCAAACTTTTCTTATAATGGCGAGTGAGCGTTGCAGAAAACGACCCGTGAAGTGTCGCCGAACCTCCTTACTGGATGGGATCTCTCTTGCTGGTACTGACATGTCAAATGAACCTATGGCCCAAGCGCTGTAACCGGCCAACAATTGCGTGGGTCTGGGAGATTCATCAGATGCAACATGACGTACTTGGTATCAAGGGATCAACCGTTGTTAGCCGCCGTATAGTCGTGTTTGAAGTACTTAACTGAGCCAAGCTAGAGGAATGGCTACCAGTGCCACATATGAACGTGACACACTTCGCTCCTCACAACTTACATCGAAGCACTGAGCCAGGTATTCACCCGCTGTCTTTTACCGGGGCATGCCTATTCAATCTAAGCTCGCTGAGCGGCCGAGAGATTGCGGGGTGCCTGTTCTGTTGAATGATACTGTCGTTCGACATCATGGTACAAACCAGCCTGAGGACGCAGCACGCCTCCTACGACAGACTTACATCTCGGTATGCCCCAACCGTTGACCTTTCCCCGCACTGGGAGGCTGACAATGTGCCGTCCTTTCCAGAACTCATACCTCAGCATGTGAAAGCTGGGTCTTCGGTAAGTTAGAGTTGTGTAGCCCAGCTACTATGTAGGACCTTGTGTGGTCTGATGTCTGATAGCCTGCAGAGGGCAATCGTCAACGCAGGGGGGTTTCCGGGTTTATGATTGGAGACGAGCGTATGTGGACGAGCTAGTAAAGCTAGAATGGCTCCACAATGGTGCCGAATCGCTGGGAAACCTGGGGAATGCCGATCACCCCGGATGACTACGCATCACCCCGGCCTTACCCCTGCTCATGATGGAAGGGGGACATAAAGCAGCGATCCTCACATATCTTCCCCGATTCGTTTTGAGGTTGATGAACCCATGCAGCTCCGAAATTAATCTTGACAGAGTGGCTCTCATCAAGAAGAGTTATCGTCGTGACTGGAGATCTGGGTGCCAGCCCAGAGGAGCTAAGGACTGGCGAGGTGTCCCAGGAGAGGACCACAGATATCTCGGTCTCCTGTTGATGAAGCCTGTATTTTAAGTACTGTACGCAGACAATTTCGGATGTACGTTTGGTCAACCAGAACACACACACACACACGCACACACACATTTAATCATGTCCGGTGGCTGCCAGCCAATAGGGCCACTATTTGCTCTGCACATTTCCGTTTCCCAAGCTTTGTCATGATCTCCTAAAAGCCCGTACAGCGTCCGTTTCCTGCTTTTGCCTCTTCCATTTACCGTCACTCTACGGTATCTCGTGTACAAGGATATCGACCAAGATCTTATCTCCCACCTCTCTATGGACCTTGGATCCCATTTCGGGCTCTCATAAAAACTGCCGATCACAGAGATCCTCGCGGAAGCGTGGAACTCACAGAGCAGCTCTCCGGCACAATGCGACACCGGAAACCCGTCATACAAGAGAATTGTACTTTCCAGACTCCTAAGGAAGTGCTCGGTGGTCCCAAGCCAGCAGCTTCCGATGCATGACCCCCCAGCCGAAATCTGCTTCGAGGCCGCCGAAACATGGTGATATGTCAACTTCTGCCTACTCCGGGACCGGCGGAGCTCGAGCCGGAGCACCAGGCCACGCATCCGCTGATCAGCAAACTGGTTCTACATCCTTGGTATTCCTACGATGGCTGCAGACTGTGAGCGGGCCTTTGGTGTTGGACAGCTTACATTGACGTCGCAGAACCTGTCGATGAAGGCGCAGACCATAGGAAAGTTGCAGCCGACGAGGAATTGGCTATGAAGCACGTGTGAGGGAACCGACTTGCATTGCTACCAAATGGGACCTGATGTACAAAGAAGACTCTGATGAGGAAGATAGAAGTAGCCGGGAGTTTGCCTGGACGAGGGCCTTTGCCCCGAGGTCATTACCGCTCAGCCCGTTACGCCTCTGTTGGAATAAATATTGACTTGCATAATGGGCAATCGACATGACGGTTTTTGAGCCAAGAGTCGATGCAAGTCGTGTGAAACAGATGTTTGCATTTCAATCGTCGGACGCTGTCCACATCCACTAGGACTTCGAGGCAGATTGCACTGCAGCAATGTCAGTGTTACCAGGAAAACTGCACCACTTGGAACATAATTACTGTACCAGACTTCAGCTGCGCTGGACTGGGTTGAAGCCACAGCAGCTTCCCTCTTAAACCCCTGAATCTGCTCGTACTTTTGTGAGGGGCTTTGCATCATTTAGCATTCGCAGGTCGATTGTCTCCTTCAATTTCCTTTTTGCTCTCTCAACGTCTCTCTGAGGCTGATGATGGCTCTGTAATTTCACCAGACAGCTTTTGTTCATGAGCATGCATATGGGTGGTTGGAACTTGAGAGAGATTACGTACAGAATGGGGAGCACGAGGGCTACGACGACGACGACGACGCCAACTGTCACCAAAGCCGGTATACGCGAATCTGGAGCTGAGGCGTCGTAGTCGTTCGGCGTCGTCGGGTTGCCTGCGATAACGCTCATGAGCTGTTAGTGTTCGTTAATATCCTCGTGGCCAAATTCTGCCGCCGTTCGATGGATACAGTACACTGAACATAAATCGAGGGGTGCCTGATCAAATATCATGACAGATCGTAGCTCAGCCACGCCCGACAATCATACGATGCCCTTCGAGAATGCGCAAGAGCCTGCTATAGTAAAGTTTGCCACCGGGCTTCCGAAGCTTTATCACCTAAAGCGCCCTGTGGTTTTATGAGCAGTTGTTTCAACATGGAGATCGCCGCCCTTCATTCCGGGTTAGTTAATTGGTGGCTTGATCGGGCCATAGCCGCGATACTAGTACGCGGTGCCGGCACTGCGAATCAGTCCCAGCCGGAATACCTACCATAGTAGGTGGTCCACTACGGCACTAGCTCTCGTAGGTTGGATGGTATGGTGGTCATTTCTTCCCCTTCGTTCGGCCGCAGATCCCCGCCCTCACGCCAACTATCGTCACATGT